CTCCCTCTCTGCTCTTCATCCATGCACGGTTCTCACAATTCCCACCTTTTCTCGCCCCTCCCTCCTCCCGCAACGACCGCAGAGTGAAACCTGAACCCTGGTATTACACCCGCTTCACCTCTCCTCCCTCACCCTCCTAACCTCCCAACAGTGAGAGTGTGGGAGGATGGGGTGAGAGACAACACATACCCGGGCAGCCATCCGCCAATGCTGTGCCTTTACTTGCCATTCAACACCTTCACATAATGAGAGGATGGAAAGGCAAGAAGGGGTCATTCTTATAGAGGGTTATGTAATGCCACTGATCACTGAGGACCAGCTCTGCAGGAGGGGTGTCAGTTCATTTAGATTTGATTGAAAGGAAGCATTGGCACTGCAGGACGTGTGGATTTAAAACAAAAGGGAGGAAGTTCTATGATTTCTCTTTTTTCACAGCATGAAGCAGTGCAACATCAAAAAGCCAGAAATTGTTGCCAGATAATGATGGGGAAATAAACCTCAAAACTAACCCAAATAAATACAGCTCTACCATGAGTGAAGGACATGGGATTTCATTTCACAGATTGTAAAGACAGACACAGAAAAGAATGCACACATTCCCAATGTATATAACTCTTTTAACATAAACTGCCTCTTTGAAAGATGTTTTTTCTAACGTAATATAGCTTCAGAGTTCCTCTCAGAAATTCCTCATTGTTGCCATGTGACATTGATATCTTTGTGAATCCAACAACTAACAAATGCTTCTACATTAGGACGATACAAAAAAAAATGCGTCATACATTTGTTGCCAAACGTTTGCGATTCACTGCATTACTGTTCAAAAGATACATAACAACATAAATGACACAGTGTAATACGATATCATTTGCTACATACAATACATGACAAAAGGGAAACAAAGGGAATAGGGAACTAAACTAAATTTCAATATAATGATAAACTCACTTGAATAGATTGCATACACAATTTTGCAGCACAGTATTTGTGGCTGTTGCTCAGGAGCTAGAGCAGGTGTCAACTATTCGGGAGGCTGGTGGTTCGATCCCTGGCCCCTACAGTCAACCTGATCATGTGCCCTTGTGCCAGAAACCAAACCCTACATTGCCCTGTGGCTGTGAAGGTTTTAGCTCCTGATGAGCAGGTGGCATCTTGTATACTGGCCTCTGACACAAGTGCATGAGTGTGTGGTGAATGCTGGCTTTTGTTGGGAAACACATTGAATGGTAACTAGACAAAAAAGCCCTAAATAAATGCAGCCCATCTACTGCAACACGATATACAATAAAAAACGAAATTCACTACGCTTAATATGATACGATATGACACAATGCAACATTATACAATGGGATAAGACAATACAATACAACCTTGACCCACGATATACTCTGAACTCAACACAATAGAATGTGAGACAATGTGGCACAATACACTGAAATATGATGCAACGCTATGCAACACAATATAATGTGGTCATTCAGAGACTATGCAGTTACGGTACTTCGAAGAACTTTCTTTTATGACTTAAACCTATTTGGCTTGCTAACAATTACAATTTGGTCTCTTCCCAGCAGACGGAGCTTCTTCACGACCACCTAGTTGAGTGTTGTTCATACCGGCGCATACCAAACATCCTGTAGGTGATCTAAGGTGAGTAGATGGTGTCCACCTGACAACCCTAACAACGCCCTCAGTGCAACATTTGGATCAGTGTTAATAAAGGTGTAGCTTAAGGGCTTATTTGTTGTTTATGTCTCTTGAATGGAAGAATTTGACTTGAATATTAACATGTTTTTTAAACTTCCTGTTTACTTGCAAATGTCTCTACAAACCTATACCGTTCATGCCTTAAGCTTCAAGGGTGAACGAAAGTGCAACCAAATCAAAGCCTAAAGAAGATAGACGATATATGAGGTAATCAAACATCTGTCGGCTCAAACGCTCTCTGACAAACTGTTTTCAAACGTCTGTTACTCTCTTTGTCTTTCATAAACACACACACATTACCCTGTTCTTGCTGCACCTGGTGACCCTCCTTGTGAACCTGACACAGACACACACACAGTTATTCAGTAGCTCTGGTAATTACACACACACACATACACGTGCGCACACACACACACACACACACACACACACACACACACACACACACACACACACACACACACACACACACACACACACACACACACACACACACACACACACACACACACACACACACACACTGAGCTGTTTTTTGTCCAGCTCAGAAACGTCTCAAAAAGAAAAACTGGATTGAAGCATGCACCCCTCACTGCCCCCCCTCCCCCCTCCCCTCACACAGTGCTGGGGTCAGAGGTGATGATTGGATAGCATGCATAGGAAGGTTAGAAGGTAGAGCTCAGTCTTGTGACAGGTGAAATGCTTTCATGTGCTGGCCTGAGGGCAGGTGAACTGCTGCTTGCAAGCCCCTCGACCAGCATACAACAAATGTCCACTGTCACACCGGACATTTTTCATGTTGCATCCGTTTCACTGACCCTCGTTTCATGTTGAAGCTTGAGGCTGACACTTTATCACTGCTAAATCTATACAAAAATATCTTATTTCATAAACTGATGGAACTTTTTTTTATCGTATTCTGCAAATGAATGAATTGGATTCGAAGGCATAATGTTTATCATAAAGTAGAAATAAAAGGCATCATAAAATGGTACATCTCAAGTATAATAGAAGTATCTCAAAATGATACTCTGGTCAATTAAAAGTAGCTACTTTCCACAACTGTACCTAAAAGAGCATTAATAAAATGGGCCGCTTTAGAATAATTTCAGAATGTATGACTTTATGACTAGAATATTGTGATATTAAGGATATCAAACACAAATGCCATTATTTCAGTAAGGGAAACAAAACATATGGTGTTTCTTTACTGGCTACACTAAAAACTGGTTGCAGAAAATACAAGTTTCAGAAGTTTAAGTTTATTTATAGGAAAGATCAAATAAAGCCATGAGTTATAACATCAGAGAACAGGAATGTAAAAACAACGCACATATAGCCTATATGCAGGCCTATATTGAAGTTATCTCTCCATGGTGCTGCTGGGGGCTGATTGTCTGCTGCTCAGTCCGGTGATGTGTTTGAGTGATGCGGTAGAAAACCGGCCGGGACAAAGCCGGTTAACCAGCGGGGAGACAGAGAGGGGCCCCGGGCTGCTGGTGCGGGGTCGTGGGATCAGAGCGGGTCATGGAGGTGTGGGAGTGTCTGCTCGGCCCTCTGACCTTTGTCACTGAGGCTTCCTTTAATCCTGTCCTCAAAGACCATACGGACATAATGGAGAGCCCATGAATGGAGTTAAATGGTGACCATTAGGTGGATCTGTGTCGCTATTCTTCTTGTTTGTTTGGTCCAGGTCAGTCTCACGTTTTCAGACTAATCAGGCGTGTGATGGAGGGACGGCTGGAGACGCCTGGAGAGGCCCGCGGTGAGCACCGCAGGACAACAGTTTACTGGAGATGGATATCCACCTAAATGTAATGAATGGTACGACACAAGAGGGCCGAGAGAGGGGGGCGGAGGGGAGCAAGGGGGACGCTAATTGGATGTCCACTTCAGATGATTTGAGTCCCGACCAGAGTTCACAAGTGGTCCACACAGGAGGAGGCCAAAGACCCCTTCCAAAAACTGCTTGGTCAATTTAGGTATCACAGCAAAACAAGTTCCCATGAATAGTCTATTACACCGGTATTATTCTAAGGATGTCCGCCTTAACACATTTAGAGCACAATGAAGCACTGACAATACATTTTGTGGGAACACATTTAAAAATATTGATAAATTGGATTTGGCTAGATTTTTTTTCAGGAATGTGATAATATTGGAAGGTAAACATATAAAAGAAAAAGGTGAATTAATGTTCTTCGATTGGAATACATTTGGTTTTATAAAAAAATCTAGAAATACTAACTAAAAACGTATAGGCTTACAGATATAGGCCTTTCATCAGACAATGTTTTGGGTTTTCTTGTTTTTAAATGTATCTTGCTCAGTCTTTAAAGTAACTTTCAATAAACCACCAACTCTGTGGTTGTAGAATTCAGTAAGTGATTAATAGAGTGTGTATAACAATTGTCTTTAATAATTAACAAGTTACTAAGACAGGGTCAGAGGTTTGTCCGAATAAATATAAAAATAATCTGCATGTTTTTCCTGCAGTTATATCAATTTAGCAAACATTAATATGAAACTGCTTATCGTTTTGCAAATGTAGAAATTATGATCACTGCAGTAATATTAAAACACCTATGTCAATTATACAATAAAAAAACGAATAGACTTATTGTAGATAAATCAACTTTTTTATAACTTACCTATTTTCTCTCATCCAACAAGAGAAGGCATTTTAGAGACATTTTTAATTAGTATGTTAAATCTGTCACAGTGAAAATTGGATAAATTCATTATCAAAGTTTTTTTTAAAGCTCACTTTATACCTCAGTTTGTTTCAGAACACTTATATTAAAGGACATTATTAGGCCCCTTCTATAGCTGACCAATTATACTGTCTATTGCAATTCAATCTGACATGAACCTCCTACATTGATATTTAAACTCATTATTGTTGATTACTTTTTCTTTAGATCTTGTATGAAGATGCATTTCTCTACACAGCCTTATGTATAATCACACCAGCACAGTAAACCAGCACATGTGTGTTTGTGGTCTGGTGCCTTTACGTGGAGGAGACTGACACCTAGAGTCTCATGTGATGTACTGCAGGCTACATATACTGCATCTAAGCAACCTTCTATTAGACACAACAATAACATTACATTACATGTTACTTGTTAGACGCTTTTATCCAAAGCGACTTACATACTCAATACTGTGGACAATCCCCACAGGAGCAATTTTAGGGTGAAGTGTCTTGCCCAGGGACACAACGACATGCTGACTGCAGTGGGGTTCGAACCTGTGACCCCCTGATTCCAACACCAAGTCTCTATCCACTGCGCCACACGCCTAACAAACACAAGATCATTCAATGTGTCTGTGGATATGCTCCAGAGGTTAACATGTGGTTAATATGAGTTTCAAGACGGATAGGTATTTCCTTGACACATGACATAGGGCTTAAATGTGGTTCACTTTTATTCTGGAAATCCTTTAATCCAAGCTCTGTGTGCTTACATTTTTGTATTTAATAATGACGATATTCTGTGGTAAACATTGTTTTGCTTTGTTACAGCTGTTGTGTACTTTGGATGAAGCTGTTGCCTCTTTCTGTCAGTATGATAGTGATGGATGGACGATAAATAAAGGGGATCAAAGAGGCTTTTGGCACCGTGTCATTAGTCCGACTACAGCTCTCCTCGGCCCCCGGCGCTCTGCATACCTTTGCGGGCTGGGCAGAGCCGAGGAGTGTCCCTCTGGCTGCGGGGGGTGTGTACTTTTTACTGTATTTAAGCACCGGCTGCTAACACATTGTGCGGATAAAGATTTTGACTGCAGATTCAGCATGGCAACCAACAAGAAGGCACCTCTTGGCTCCATCGAGAACCCGATCAAGTTCATGGATCAGGACTTCAAGTCTCTGCTGGAAGAGTGTCTGAAGTCCGGAGAGATGTTCGCTGACCCGACCTTCCTGGCGGAGCAGAAGTCCATCGGTTTACCGGAAGATGCGGATCCAAAGAAGGCGATCAAGTGGCAGCGACCCAAGGTAGATAAAGTTGTGCATATAAGAGTTCCAGTTGCGTTTTTGGATTAAATTCTAATCATTTATTCAACATCAGTTGTTGAAGAATCAATAAATATGCATGTCATGTTATAGCTTCCTCCACAGCCATAACAAAAAGTGCTGCTTCCATATCAAAAACATTCTGCTGGCACACTAACATTTTGTTTAAAACCAACGGAAGGTGTGTTCATTTGTTTAAGCCACTCATAATGTGAAATGTAATTTAGTATCTTGTTGGCTTTGCTTGCTCACAGAGACTCTATTTGTTGCAGAGGTGAAGAAAGCAACTCATAGTGAAGGTGTGGCTCAGGTCTCCTGGAGCAGTTTCCTTTAGAGGGGCAAAATGTAACCAAATAATATCAGGAATAAAACTTTAATGAAAGTACTGTACTTTTAAAGTAATCTCCAAGCCAGAAAACATTTTTGAGATGTAAGGTAGGCTACAACATAAGGAAAATGTTAATTTAGGATTTTAGCTGATATAATACATTACAAAGTAAAAAGGGATTAATAAGAATTAGTAACAACAGGGCTGTCTTTAATGATACGTTTGAGTTAGTTTTAGTTTTATACATTTTATATGATTTATCTGTTTCCTTTTCTTCCTTGGTAAATGGTTTGGTCAATATAATCAGCATTTAATAATGTTTTCAAATTTTCGTAAATGTCTTCAAATGACTTGTTTTGTCCGACCGCCAGTCCGTAAACAAAAGATATTCAATTCAATATCATATATGATTAAATAAAACGAGAACATACTCATACTTAAGTAGCTGGAACTGGTGATATTTTTGGTATTTCAGTTTAAAGGAGGATTCAGGTTATTATTATAATTTTAAAAAGTGTTAATGACTAATTATGTCGGATTGACTTATCCAATCATTTTTAAACCTTTTCTTAAAACGTCTTCTCTCATCACATGTACTCATGACGTTTGTGGTGTTAATCATGTTGTGCTCACATTTTCCTCTGCTCCTTGTGAAGGAAATCAGTAAGAATGCTGTGTTTGTGGAGGGCACGACTGGGACCACTGACATCTGTCAGGGCCAACTGGGTGAGTACACATCTGTAAACTTCAACAAACACATTCATATCGGCCTCGCCCCCTGCTCATCTTCTCTCCCGGAGTGATGAGGAACTGGGATGTGTCATGATGAATTGTCTTCAACTGGCATTCAACAACATTCTGGTGCAAAGTGGTTCATTTTATTCCTAATGACTTAATTGCAGTAAAATACAATGACTTCATCCAGAACTGGATGTCTTCACCGCACAGCTCCAGGGACCAAACTTCTATCACTCAGTGAGGGGGAAAGAGGAGGGGCACTCTGTGTTCCCTTAACTTTAAATCTGCGAGGGTCCAGTCCTTGTCTTCATCAGTCCTCACAAATCTCTCTTATTATTTGTGGTGAACCACAAAAAAGCAAACTTCCCTTCTCCCCTCTGAGATTTCTCAATTGATAGTTTATGATACCAGTTTATGGACATATTGCACTGATCAATACCAAACTCCTTGTTCCTCTTGCTCGTCTTCTTGTGTTTGAAGAAAGCATTTTCTTGCGACATCCAGGAACACAACATGTAACAGATGTTTTCTGTTGGAGAGGAATGTGGCCTATTAGGTTTTTGTGTGTGTGAACCTGGTTGAAAGAGCATTGACGAGAACATGGATTATGCTTCATGGAAGACCAGTGCCTTCTGGGCTTTTATGTAAAAAAACGAATCACTCATTATAAAGCACTAAGTATCTTCTAAGATGTGTTCATGTCAGCATCTTGTGGGTATTCTTGTGAATCAGGTAACTGTTGGCTGCTGGCGTCGCTGTCCTGTCTCACCATGCACCCCAAACTCTTTGTGAAGGTGGTGCCGCCCAACCAAAGCCTATCCAAGCCTTACGCAGGGATCTTCCATTTTAGGGTAAGTAGACTCCCAGCACTTTTTTTTCTGATGAGAAAAGTTGTAATTATCTCCCCAATCAAGTGAGTTGAGAGTGAGACTCACACCTTGTTTGCTGCTGACCAACAAAAAGCAGTCTTCCTCATATCCTTTATCGTTGCCCTGCAGCTCAATCTCAGCCCCTGCCTTGTCTTAGCCTTAACGCATGTTGCTTTAGGGCCTATATTCTTTAGGAAAACAAATTATTATTATAAGCTGTAATTGCATCTAAGTTTTAACCATTTATTGCACCTGCAAATAAGCGTTTTAGGTGGAAGTGTGGCTGATGCTTGATGCTTTAGACAAACAATCACATTTTGTGGTAATATGTTACTTTGTTTTGAAGTATGCACAATGTGAGAATGATATCAACTGACACAATAGGGGTTTTTAAGGCAAAATGAGTTTCCTTAAAAGCAGTTCCTACTAACCAGTCCCTCTGGCTCATTACTTAAAGGGTTTAGCAGGTCTGTTGAGATCCCTAATGACCTGCATTTTCTCTTTTTTGTTGTGTTTGGGACGTTGCTAGGCATCAACCTCTATGAAAACGTAGCGAGCAAGTGCCTTTAACATTATATTACATATAAAGTATAAAACACATTTCTGGGTGTGTTTGAAGCTCAATAAGTGCTGATCACAGGCCAAATATATAACAAAGTTTGTGTTGGTTGTAATCAATTATGTATTGAAGATCATTATAGATATTAAGTTGGATTTATTATTAACAACTAATTCACATGTTATGTAACTTCTTCTAAGCAAGGACTGATTCTCTGTCTCTAAAGTGATTCATATTCTATCTAATATGACATTTAGCCTATTGTCATTAAGCTGTGTACTGCTTTAGGTGCCGTACTTTCACAGATGCGTCATTTAATAACAGGTATCAACTTATCCTGCAAAGAGACAAAAGTGAAAACTAATCTTCACCTCATCAGAAGCTATTACATTTAGAGATCATGCACAGGCTCTGACTAACACAGATACAATACATATGGCATTATTAGATGATTCAATCAGTTCAAAGCAAACACAGTTGTTAGATATGGATCATTATCTGCTCAGAAATGATTTTCCCCAGAGTGTTGGACCTTCAGAGACTGTTAGGGAGATGAGACAAGACTTGACAAGCAGGACAGAAGGATTGGAAAGTATTTATGCCTTGTCAGGGTGATGGGAGAGCAGTCCAGACACGCAGGCAGTGACTCCCCCTGACACACACGCACGCACGCACGCACGCACGCACGCACACGCACACGCACGCACGTACGCACAGCTGTTGTGTACACCTTATAGTACACACCTTAAGTCATGGCCAGTATCTGCCTCGGTTGGTGGTTTAAAAAAATGTAGGGTTTATTTAATTTGTCTTAAAAGCTTTCTTAATAAACCATGTGATACTGTATTAAGTATGTGAATAGCAGGCAATTTAAAGTGATTCAAATCACATAAGATGTAAAACAGAAATCAGTATAATGTGCCAAAAGTTAGATGATCTTTCCTATCTCATGTTAAATGAAGTTTGGATATACATATATATACATAGATAAGGCCATGTCCACTGGGTGGATATCATTCACAGAAACACTATTCAACAAGCATATTGCACTACAACAAAAATATCAAAAAAATACAAAAGTGAGGAAACAAAACCTTTCAAAAAAATGATTAAGGCTAAATGTATTGACCATGAGATGATGCTGAATAACCCCTGTGATGTTGTTGCCTGTTTAGGTTAAGGTTAGTTTCCTGACTAACCTTCCTCCTGATAAATTACACCAGTTTCTTCTCTATCTCTCCCTCCCTCTCCCTGAGCAGTTCTGGCAGTATGGTGAGTGGGTGGAGGTGGTTGTGGACGACAGGCTGCCAGTGCGTGAAGGCCGTCTGCTCTTCAGCTACTCTCACACCCGTAATGAGTATTGGAGCGCCCTGGTGGAGAAGGCCTACGCCAAGTCAGTTTCCACTACCAAGCATATGTTTGAGGGTTGTAATGTCCCTGATCACCCACTCTTTTTTCTGTGTGTCGCTGCAGTGATACAAATACTCTTTCTCACTTGATCGTTTGTAGGTTAGTCGGATCATACGGAAGCCTGAAGGGGGGCAACATCTCAGAGGGGATGGAGGACTTTACAGGAGGCATCGCATACTCGCTGCAGGTCTCATCCCGCACCCCTCAAGTCCTCTGGAGGTCTCTGACAGCCGCCCTGTCTCGAGGCAGCCTGCTCAGCTGCTTCATCCAGGTAAACAACACACCTCCAGAAGTTCACTCTGCACTGCTCGATGCTCCGTACAGTCACTTCAGCTCTTCTCTCTGTCTTCACAGGCTAGCAGCTACCTTGAGATCGGTAAAGTGACAGGAAACGGGCTGATAAAAGGTCACGCATACGCCATCACCGACACCGACAAGGCCAGTATGACTCAGTTTTCCACAAAGACTTCCAAACAACAACGTCATTTTATCTTCTAATTCATTTTCATAATTTCAATGGGTATCAAATCTAATGCACTTTGAACTTTTCTAATATATATTCACCACTTGTTTTCCAAATAACATGTTGTTTTATCTAATTATATTTCACACTAGTATAATCCTATTCATTCCCATATAATAGCACTGAAATAAAAATTAATGTCATGTTATTTCCTGTTAATTTCTCATCATGTTGAATTAAACCGGCCCTTTTATGCTCATTATAGGTTGATATTTCTGTTTGTTGGTCTACTGTGACATGTTTATATGCTTAAATGTTCAAAAAGCTCTTTATTTTTCTCATACTGCCTGTGCTGCAGCACCTCTTTTCACCCTCTGTCTGAAACCAGAGCCCAGTCTGCTCTGATTGCTTAGCTGGCCGGCTCTGTTGTGATTGGTCAATAGCTTATAGATTTCCCGCCCCTTAGCCTATCACGTAGAATGTGTTGAAGTGCCGGCAAATAGAAGCACAAGTGTTACATAGTGTTGTCACTATGTTATGGAAGTCAGCAAAGAAGTCCAATCGAGGCGTATTAGGCAGAGAACCTCCTTCTGGGGGGAACTTTGGGATTTTTGGCTTTGCAGACCATTTACATGCACTGAAACCTATTTAACACATGAAAAGGAAACCCCCAAAACACATAACAGGGCCCCTTTAAACATTGTAAATCTCATTCTTGATTTTGGACAGTAGACGACCATGTGATACGATCAAATGCTCCAGAAAAGCTACTCATGACCTTGTGGATATATTTTGGCCAACCTTTGACTCATCTCATCTCTTATTACAAGTAACACGCTGAGAACTGCCAAACAATCTTTTATAATGAGTTTCTTCTCTCATCACTCTTCAGGTGATGAAAGCGTCCAATGAGATTTTGTTGCTGAGGCTGAGGAACCCTTGGGGTTTTATCGAGTATCGCGGACCCTGGAGTGACAAGTGAGTAAGCTTCCTGTTTCTGAACGTTTGTAAAGAAAGAGCTCACCCACTCACTTTCTCTTTGTGTGGCTGCAGGAGTAAGGAGTGGGATGACGTGGTCAAAGAGGAGAAAGAAAGGATTGAGCTGAAGAAGAAAGAAGATGGAGAGTTCTGGTAAGTGGGGGTACTTAATATTCCTCCTCCTCTAAAACCACACTGTGAAAATACTCCACAAGTATAAATCCTGCGTTAAAAGCCTTTCCTAAGTAAAAGGAAAATGTTTACTTTCAGTATTTTGATGTGTCTTGATTAAATTAACTGTTGCATCAACGTGTGAACTGCATATTACTGGTGTCCATTCTAATTTTCTTATTTAATTTCCACTACTTAATTAACTGCTGTAGTGTAATCTACATATATGCATCATATTCTATAAGATCATCATGTGTTGGTTGTGGAGCTGTCAGATGAGAACACGTATCTCTAAAAAATAGTTTTCAGCTTTGTGAGTATGCATTTTCTAACTAATCTATTACTCAAGTAAAGTAAGTACTTTGAAATTGTACTTCTCTACAGAAAGTGAGTGAATACTGGCTCTGAAAACTATAAGCTCTCTGATGTAAATCTTCCTCTCTATCAGGATCAGTGTCGAGGACTTCCACAACCTGTTTGACATCGTGGAGCTCTGCAGTCTGAATCCTGACAATCTTGAGGAGGGAATCACAGCCTCCCCTTCCTCTCCTGCCTCCCCGTCTGTCTGGAACATCACTGAACATGAAGGATTCTGGGTAACGGGAAGTACTGCTGGTGGCAGCCGCAGATACAACCGTATGTTAAAGTCTATACATTTACATACATTTAAGCTCCATCTAGATCTTTTTAAGTTATTTATCAAACTTTTATTCCCTAAGGATCCTTCTGGAAAAATCCTCAGTACCAGTTGGTTCTGACGGAGCAGGACCAGCCACAGTTGGAGGATGATGATGATGAGGAAGATGAAGATGACGACGATGATGAGCCGATGACCGCAGAGGAGAAGCAGAGAGCAGAGAAACAGAAGCAGAAAGCCAAAAAGTGCACCGTGCTGGTGGAGATGCTGCAGAAAGACCGCAGGCAGAAGAATAAACTCAGCTTCCGCCACATTGCTTTCCACATCTATCAGGTCACATTGACTTTACTTTTATGTATTTATTGAATTAATATTGTTTCCTGAATAAACTAACATCTGTCTTTGTGTTTCTTTCATTTGCAGGTTCCAACTGAGGTGAGTGATTTATGGCCAATGGAGAAATAATCATTATCTGCTTGAAATAATAACAATAATCCAATATTCTCAGTAATCATTTATAAAGGTCTTGTAATATCTTTCTTCATACAGCTCCAGGGTGCGTGTTTGAGCCGCCACTTCTTCATGACCACTCGCCCCGTGGGTCGCTCTGGAAAATATGTGGCTCAGAGGTAAAACAGCATCGTGAAGAATAATGACTGTTCATTTGTAATTCTTCAATAAACTTTTGATAAAATCAGCATTCTGTTCACTTAGTACTATAGGCCACAGTAAATGTTGCTTATTGTGTGATTAATGTGCCCTAAATCAAGAGTGATCCCTTAAAATGTTTACCTCAATGTAACAAATCGGTTCCTCAAAAGTAGTAATTTTCCAACTGAAATACTTTATCATCCAAAGAAAAATTATAATAATTTAGCCAGGGCCGCCAATAACCAAGTGAGGGACATACAGATAAAACAACAATGTCAATCCATAAAATGTATCCAAGAGTACTTAAGGTTGCAATTGGCCGTAATGGTGTAAATGTATAAATGTAACTCATTATCTGTGACGTCCCGCAGGGGAACGTGGAGGAAGCTGCATCTGGACCCGGGGAACTACATCATCGTGCCGTCCACCTACCGACCCAACCAGCCCGGAGAGTTCTATGTCCGCATTTTCGCCAAGACCGGAAACACTTTGGGGTAAGATGGAAGGGATTTAGCATTGGGGGCTTAAAACATGGAACAAAAATCGAAAGAAGACTTATTTGCTGAATTTATTATTCCTCTATACTTTCCTCTACAAAAAACGGTTATTTTTTAAAGCAGCATTTTGTAATTGTTATAAGCGTCAAAGAATACTTCCTGAGGGTCCCTGCATCACCTCCTGCCTCACCCACTCTCAAAGGCCCAGTCATAGTCACCCACACTCCCCTGTACCTACACTCAAACATACAACATTAAGCTACTGTGTATTTAGACAATTGCATTTAGTCTTAATAGCAATAGGCTGATTTATCATGGCTTCTGTCAGAAACAAGTCAATTACACAGCTGAGCGCTAGTACTCATTATAACTATAATCACCCTCTTCAGCTTCCTGGAGTGGAGATTAATGGTTTTTTTCTTATTAATTGGCAGACCACTTTATTCATTATTTCTAGGTTTTTAAGAGACATGGAAAGTAACTAGGTATATTTAAGCCGAGTTGTGTTTCCCCTACTTGATTATTTCCAAGGTATGTTAACATTCACACCTGAGTTTCAGATTTTTTAAATCATTTTAATAGGAAGATAATAATAATTTTGAAGTCTAAATCAAGCCAGTATCCATAATTAGTGAATCAACTTATTATAATACATTATTTCTAAGTGTATAACATTAATTAATGAAAGAGACAATCTGGTGTGGACTTTTTGTTTCAGGACTCAGGACTTCACCTGCTCCTCTGGGTTCCTCCCGGTGAGTTGATCTGTCTCGTTCAGACATGTCACCCATCTGCAGCTGACTAAAAGATTATTATATGTTTACGTTTGTTCTGTGTTTGCGCCAAACAGGTAATGGCTACCCCAGTCTCTCCAGAGGATCAATTGAAAGTTCTGAAGACTTTTGATGAGGATGCCGGCCCTGTAAGAAGTCATCCTCACTGAGACACATTATTCGTTTTTTATAAAAGTGTGAATTTGAGGCCTTTGCTCATGGTATTGCTTTTGTCTCCCCGGGCAGGATGACAGACTGAATGCCAAGGAGCTCATGAAGCTGTTCAACACAGGTAAAACATCTTAAATATATTAGGTTTAACATGTTCTAGCTGCATCTGAAAATAACACAAAGCTTCCCTACAAGTGGTATTTGACTATCTAATACCCGTAATGGCCACTAGATGGGAGCAAAGTAGTAAAGCTTTCTCTTAAAAGTTGGCCTAGTGGACCCTCAGAGGTCGCCACCAGTCTAGACAGAAGCTCATGTAGCTGCAGTCAGAGTACATCGAGATTGGCAATAAAGTAATAAGTAATAAAAGTGATTAAACTTGTCCTTGCCTTCACCTTTCCCCATCTTAATTCAATTAAAACCATTGTTTTCGTTCTGTTCATCAATCTGTGCCTTTCTTCCTGTAATCACAGCTCTTGAGAAAGATTACCATCTGCCACTGGAGACATGCCGACAGCTCATCTTTGGAGAGGATGTATCCTTTTGTCCTCAGTATATTCTTTAATATAACTCAAAATCCAGTCTCCTTGTAGTTCAGAACGCTTGTAACGCTTGTTAGACTTTGACTGCTCTGCATTTATGTCTAGTTTACTCTGTCCTACAGAAATAACGTGTTTTTCTTGAGTTATTAACTTAATTGATCTCTGGTATCATTCAAAACTTTAATAACATTCCTCATAACTTTACCTTTTCAGTCTTCTTTCCTTAACTCTGCTGACAGACTAAAGGGCGCTCCAGTCTCACCCGTAAACAAACAGAAACCCTGCTGTCCAGTCTGCGACATCTGCAGGTGTGTGTGTTTGTGTGTCAGTGTGTGTATTAAAAATGGGGTTGTGACGTCATTGCTTATTCTGATGCTGCTTTCTTTTTCAGTCCATCTTTTTCCAGTTTGATGAGGACTCTTCTGGGACCATGAGCCCCTTTGAACTCAGCACAGCGCTGCAAGCTGTTGGTATGCACACAACAGAAACACACACACATACACAATTACACACACACTCACACGCCACACTGTGCCCCTATTGTGGCTGTTGTTTGGTTTTCACACCTTTGTTCACTCCTCTGTTTCTCAGGAATGCAGTGTGATAGCAAGGTGGTTGAGCTGCTGTCTGAGCGCTTTGCATCAGGAGAACTTCACATGCCCTTCCACAGCTATGTGTCATGTGTCACCAGGATGCAGAAGCTTTTTGGTAAGACACACACGCGCACACACGCACACACAGTAAGATCTACAGTGGTATTTTATTTTCGGCCCATCTGCACTCAACCCTAAACAATCTAACAAGGACACTTAAGCAGTATATCAGTCACAGTAAAATGTTGATGCAAAAATAATACTTTTTATTTGATACATTAAATATATTTAGCTGATAATACATGTGTACTTTGCAATTTTTACTTACTCAGACTTTTTCTTTGTTGTATTATTCCTTTACCTAATTCAAATATGTACTTATGTCTCCCTTGTTATGATTAAGATGTGTAACTTTTTGCCAAGTTAAATTGAACATTTGAGTGAAATATGTTCATGTTTTGGTTTACATTATACGTTTTATTCATATTAGGGCTATTACTAAATAAATTCAGATTTCTCGACAGGATCTAAACCAGATGCAGAAGTTATTAATTGTTGCAGTGATACTGAATACAGTCATTTCCTCCCTCTTCTCCTCAGCGCTGTATGAATCAGAAACCAGTCAGGAGGTGAAAGACAGAGGGATCAACTCTGTGAGTATCTGCCAAATGCTGTGTTGTGTGGTCATGGTGACCTGAACACGTTTTTTTATTGTTTCTGCTCTCTGCTCTCTGCTGTCCCTCCACAGTGGCTGCTTCAGTTCCTGACAGTGTGAAGACGCTTTGTGATGAGGGTCTCTATCTTACACCCAGCTGAACACAGCATGCCGTTGATTATTAAACAACGAAGACAAATATAAAGTGTATTTAAAACCTTATTCCAAAGCAACAGCGGTGGCTCAGTTCACGCGTTGCTCAGCCATTGTTTTATTCTTTATGATTCATGTACCTTTCGTTATACTTATGGATATGGCCTGATATAGGTTAAAGGTCAGCTTCATTGTCATGATACAATACAGGATTGCACATTCAAATGCAGTTGCAGCCCAGAACACTACCCACACAGGAAAGGTAAGGATTTGAATAAATAGAGGTATAATAATTGAATATTAATCAATAATATAACAACTTTAATATATAAAGTATACAAAATGTACGAGGAAGATGCCCTTACACATACACATAAACACAATGTATACAATATAATATGCAGAGTATGCATGAGTATCATTTAATTGTTATGTAATACAATTATATTACTTCACATTGTAATGAAATCGATTTCATCATTAAAGATGTGTTTAAAGGTGTCCTTATTCCTTGTGTCTTTTATATGCTAATCGTTTCCAAACCTAAATATAGACCGTGTTATTATCCCTTTTCTCAAAGTTATTATCAAGTTGATGTTCAGAAATGAAATGAAAAGTAAATGTGTTTCTAATGACTAAAGAGGAAAGAAAGTATTAACTGTAAAAATACAAGAAGATAAAAATCACTGCAAGACCAACAGTTTACTCATCCATGCACACATGAACATAGCAAGGGTAATATCTGTGAACACACACACACACACACACACACACACACACACACACACACACACACACACACACACACACACACACACACACACACACACACACACACACACACACACACACACACACACACACACACACACACACACAGTCAGAGTGAGCACTGCCTGCCCCACTGAGGGTGTGAGGTTTATGTCTCAGCAGCGTAACACGCACAATCTCTATTCTTATCGCGCTGACGCCACGTACAGCGTCAACACGCACTCGCCTCCTCCTCCACTGCGTTCCCTCACTCCCTCTATCCATCCCTCCCTATTTCTCCCCCCTCATGTTCCCTCTAGTAACTGTCAGAGTCTCACAATCTGCCTCCTCCTCCTCTCTTGTTACACACACACAGCTGCTCGCATGCACACACACACAGAAATGTCATTTTTACACATGCAGCTAATTATAGCACCTTTGCTCACACACCACTTCCTGTTCATCATTAGGTGAGACACAGGTTATCCTCAGCAACCGTCCATCTACACTGTGAGAGGACGACAGGAAGGACCAATAGATTCCTCTCAGTGTCTGTCCTCTCCATACTCTACCTGCTTTATCATTTGATTTAAATGTTTCCAAACCCTGTGCTTCCTCCTGCTTTTGTGTCAGCTTTACATTAACCCAGCCATTGATAGCTGTAGCAACAAGGCTATTATTTATTATTATTATTTTACATCTGCGGGCCTCACAGGACTCATGCACGTGTTCTTTCAGTCATTCTGTTTAAGAAAAGCTAATAAACTTGAACTACAGTAAGGCCAGAGGCTGTGCTTGGCTGTACTTGGGCACTGCAGAGTTTCAAACTAAATGCTGATAACAGGTCAAATAAAATGTACATTAAAAACAAAGCACAGGCTGGTGGGAATATCATTCGTTTTGCAGGAAGCCATTTTGTCATAACCCAAACTATTGGACAAACCCTGAAATAATGAAACGTCACAAGATCCCCAACGTTATAACAATTCATCCTCATAAGCTTGAATGTGCAATTCAAAAGTTGTTGGGATATTCTATGAAATACCACGAGGAGAAGTATGGGATCACAAAGAGGTGTAGGATCCATCCTCTTTGGACCATGAATGTTTTTTTTTTTTTAAATCATACCAATTCATCGAATAGTTGTTGAGGTGTTTCAGTTTGGACCAAACCGTAGACCATGCATCGAGCCACTCCGCTAGCATGGCTAAAAATATTATATTATTAATTACCCCTCTCTAAAACCTTTGAATCCAAACACAAATTAACTAACTATAACACTCAAATTAATTCAAACATTTGGACAACCAAAATGACTTTCATCCCTTACAAAACATTATTGAAGTTCCCGGCAGATGATTAGGGAAGAGGCGCAAAATAATAATAATAATAATCCTGGTGGTCGATGAGTGCAGGTCTGATCTAAATAGTTTTGTCCCCAAGGTTAGGAATCACGATGAGTGTGTTACAATCGGTGTAAAAAAGTTTTGCTAGGATCATTGAACTTTTTTGTGAGAACATGTGTGTTGTCGTTATACTTTTTTTGTCCACAATAGGCTGACGTGTATCACTACCATGTGTTTGAAATATGACTAAAAGGGTCCATGTTTTTTTCCATGTGAGCTTTAATATCTCCATGCACACTGAACACAACTTACATATATTGGGTATGGGCGTTAGGACATTAGTCATGTCATATTTTTGTCTTTAAATGTTTATAAATCGGCTCTAATGTAATGCTTTAATTTATATGTAGTGCACAGGGGTATTTGAGGTATTTAAGGATGACTCCAAATCAAGCAGTTGTTATGACCCCTGGTTCTCATAAACGTTATCATATCAACAACACCCATCAGTCAGATCAACAGAAAGAGAGACAGTGTCTGATCTGTCAGGATATAACTGTAAACTGTGTCCTCTCCCTCACAGACAGAGTGTTTACTTTTTCTTTCCTCTCTGTTGATTCTGTTCTCTCGACAGCGGCGATGCTCATCCTTCCACCTGCTCTTCCTCTCCCTCCCCCCTCCCCAAGCTGTCCTGTGGGATGTGATGATGCTCTGACAGGCTTTGCGTCTGTTCTTGGAGGTGCTGGTATTTCTGTGCTGTGGCGGCCTGTGCTGGTACAGGAATAGTGGCGGAGTTGTAGAGTGGGGGTGGGATCTGAGGAGGGCTGGGATGCTTTGAGATCTGTGTGTTTTCAGCCATTGTATAGACACAGGAGGGAGACCAGGGAGGATTGCGTAAGTTCCCTGGCTGCAAATTTAGCCTGGGCTTGCTCACGCACAAATTTGATGAGCAGTACTATCTCAGTCGTCAGAGCTGGGGTATTTAAAGATGTGAGTGTGTTGGCATGGGATGTGGGGTGTATATATTGCGCCTGTTTATTTACAAGTCGTGATGATGGCTGATAATTTGGGATTCAAAGAGGGGCATTTGCATCTACAGCTCAGCAGCTCTCCCCTTCACTCTGCTCTCTGTTCCTCATCCTGCTGTTGCTATTTTTTTCTAACTGTGTTTACACTGTGGTCACCAGATGTTTCATAGTCGGTGCCACATCAATATAACATTGACGAAGCATCTCTAAAATGTGTTTGTATGTTTGTCCAACTTGCCTGAGATATTTAAAAAGCAACAAAAGGTCATTCAGGTAAATGCATGGATTACAGTGTGTCTATTATCTTGAGTAGATGTCTAAATGGAGTATTTGTATGCAGTATTAAAATCTCAACCTGTGCCAAAGTCCTGAGGTTAAAGGTAGGGTAGGTAAGAAAGGAGAAACCAGCTCGAGTGCGCTAGAATTTGAAAGTACACAACCGAAAAAAATCTGCCCCTTCCTTCAGACTTCCTTACAGAGCCCCTCCTCCAACACACACGAACGCGCACATGACCAATGAGGGCACGAGATAAGTTTGTGCACAGATGGAAGGCTGACAGGCAGGTAGGCCATCCAGTTATCTGACGTGGGCCGAGGCAGATAATTGGACTTGCTGTTTACAGCGCCACGGCTTCCACAGATGAAATATTTGTATATATTTATTGTCAAAGCATTTCATGTATTCATTGCTATCGGGATGTTAAGAGCATTCCATGGAAGATAACAAAAAGTGTTTCTGATGTGAATTACCTACCCTACCTTTAAAAGAAATGCCACTACAGTATAAAGTACGGCTGCACCTATCCAACATATTCTGTTCTGTTAACAATACCTCAATGTCGCCAACAGTAATCTGATACCAGTGCTCCCTCTTTTCCTCTTTTAAAAATGTTTATTCCTCAATGTGTGGAATAAACAGGAATATATTTTAGGTTAGGTAACATGCAAGCAATACAGAAACCCTGAATTGTATAATGACATTATCAAAGAAAGTATATTTTATGTGGATTGGTGACTTAGTGGCCAACACTCAATTTGGTTAGTATCTGCACCAAGTGTCTGATGCCTATAAACTACTGTATGACTCGTCGGAAAATATGGCATCCAGTACCTGGAGGTTTCTTAAAATGTATAACCATCGCAATGTAACCCCATAGACTTAATTAATACTTATTTTTCCAATACTATTATTACCTGAAAATGACAATTGGACATCCATTTAGACCAATGTTGTTATGTTTGCATCCTTAACTGCACACAGGAACACACGGCTTCAGTGTAAGCCCTTACTTTGTGATCTCTTGTCAGTCCTGACAATGAACATTAATCAATTGGATTACGATGATACTCAGCTCATTTCTGCCCCTGCAGTAACCCATAATCTGTTTTTAGAAGCCTGTCATGTGACTAAAGTGGGACGGTGTGTCTAAACTATAACTTAAACAGTTTTAATGGGACCTATTATCATTATCCTTCCTGCCATTAGTGTCTTAGCGCTCCCTGATTTGTCTTTCATATTAGATATCGCTATGTTCGGAAGACTGGCATTTTTATCAGGATTGGTAAGGAGGCTGGAATTTAAACAAATCACCTGCCACAATTGTGAAACATTTGATATGGTTATATAATAAAGTATGCCCTTATGTGATAACAATAACACTAATAATTATACACTAGAAGAAGACAAAAACATCAAGACACCAAACTAGTGTTATGTGTGTTACTCAAATGCCTCACTAAAAGATGACGTTACGCCAATGACTCGACTACCATGTGTCACATACTCAACTTGATAGTACACTGTACGCAAACATAGTTTCAGGCACCTTTAAATATTTACAGTTAAAAGTGTTGGCTGGTTGACTGGTGAAAACTTAGTCAAGATATTTCAACTTTTCTATCATAGATCTAGAGATGGATAGATCTAGAGATGGAGAGAATAGTGATACATGAGAGTGATGCACTGTGTGGGCGGAGAAGGCCAGCGAGGTGAGCGGGGACATGCAAGTCTTTCTGACGTGTGCAGTTTACCCAGTCCTCTCTTCTACCCCCATATATTTTCTCCTCTTCCTCGGATCCCATCCTCTATCAATCCCTCTTCCTCACCCACTCACTCCTTTTATTCCTACCTCTTACTGGTCCCTGACAAAAGAGGGCAGTCCTTATGTAAGAGAAGGAGAAGAATTGTTGAGGGTGGGGGATGTGCAGAGAGAGAAAAGGTAGAAACAAAGCCTTCCGGATATAAACAAGCAGAGAGGCTGAGTGGGGGGAATAATGAAGTTGGCATTCATGCTCCACATCCAGGTGGTAGAAGAAGTCCTCTTAAATAATGGCAGAGACATCTCTGCAGAATAAGTAGGTCCTGCTTTTAAAGTGG